TGCTACTACTATGCCTGTCCTGGCCCCCACCTATCTCTCTGACCTCACCTCTTCCCACTTGCTCCCTTGCTCATTGGACTCCACTCACACTGGCCTTTCTGATCTGCAAAGACACCAAGCTCACTTCTGCTTTAGAGCCTTTGCACCGGTGGTTCCTTCTGCCTAAAATGCTCAATCCTCTGGTCCTTGCACAGGTAACTCCTATATTCAAGTCTCCAACCAAAGCCACTTCCTCTGTGTGGCTTTTCCCTACCACCCTCTTCTGATTCAACCCACCCTAGTCATTCAGCAAGACCTCTGAGATAAGCATGCTCCTTGCCTTGTAGGTAAACCCATCTCTTAAAAATAACAAGATATGGGACATGCAGTAGTTCTATATCTGTTAATGTTTCAAATTGACCACAATGTCAAATTCAATTAACATTTGCTAATCACCTTCTATGAATAAGGCAGTATGGGAAATAACCCATACTCTACTCTAACCTTCTTAAAGCTTCTCCTACTCGTGTCCTGGTCATAAGGATGCCAGTACTCAAAAGGCACTGCCTGAAATCTGTAAGGACTCTAAGATGTTCTCTCCCAGCCCATCACTATCTTCATTATATTTTCCCCATACATAGTCTATAGGATGTGAAATCCCATATAAGGGCTCATGTGCACATGTCTTCGGGGTGTTTAACTTGAGTCCTGGGCCTGAGGGTAACTTTGATACCTCTCCCTCTCACATGCTGTTCACTATCTCTCCTCAGCATCCTTGAAATACATGACCTCAACCATCTTTCTAGTACAAGCTATCCTCATTGTTCACCGAACATTGTTCATGTGTCCCACATGGCCTGATGACAACCCTACTTTTTCTGTGCTTTCCTTCTACCTCCAAAGGGAACAGAGCATACCCAGGCACAAGTGCATTTAAAGAGAGACAGTTTGAGACTCAGCCTTGAAAAACAGGAACTGATCTGGTTTGCTTTTTGGCCAAGAGTAAAGACACAGGTACAAGGTGACTGCTCATTACAACTATGGCCATGGGACAAAGACAAGATTTACCGATGGGGCTCTATTTCTTCATCTATACAATGAGCAAGATAGACAAGATGAGGGCGCCTGGGTGGCTCAGTCGGTTGAGCGACTGCCTTCGGCTCAGGTCATGATCCCAGGGTCCTGGGATCGAGTCCCGCATCGGGCTCCCTGCTCTGCGGGGAGCCTGCTTCTCCCTCTCCCACTCCCCCTGCTTGTGTTCCCTCTCTCGCTGTGTCGCTCTCTCTCAAATAAATAAATAAAATCTTAAAAAAAAAAAAGATAGACAAGATGATCTAGATCGAGGAGATGAAGTCACTCGAGAGACTGTTTCGAACTTAAAAGAGGAACCCTAACCTTAGCCCCATCAGGAGAGGGCTTCGATGATCTCCAGCATTTTCTCCATGCAGGGCTCGGCTGACCCACAACTACTCCAAATTCCTAAGGCGCAGGCCTCTCGTTCCAAACGATGAGGATGAATACTCACTTTGGTCCACTCAAGCCATAACCGAGTAGACTAATAAAACGTCACCACACCAAAACCTTCCCACCAAAACATAACTGGAAGGACTTGCTCAGTTCGGAAGACCATCCAGCAGTCGATACTGACCATGTCACAGCCAGGCCTTCAGTAAGCTCTCTACTGTATGTTTCGTTTTCATACTAAACAGCAAAGTCGATCCCACCTACCCCCCAAATCAGAAAGTTACTTTGGAAATGGAACTCTACGACTCTCTCAGAGGAATAGAATTCAGCTAAGAATTCTTACAGAGCATCAGTATTACAAGGCAAAGGCAGGGGAGCCACTTAAGACACCTATCCCCCTCTCCCAGTGTCTTTGGACCTGGCCACGCAGACCTCAACCATCATTAGGAATATGAAATAGTTGAACGTTAGTTCAGCCTTGCATGGAGAAAATACTGGAGATCATGGACCCACGCAGTCCTGGCTCTGTCATCAAGTCACTTCTGTCCTACCCAGACCTCTCTGCAGAGACATTTTCCCTTTGGGAAGAATGGGAGTGGGTAGACCTTGTTTCTTTCTAACCAGGCTTAGCCCAGCTCACCAATGGGGCAGAGTCAACACTTCCTCCTTTCTTTTCTTTCTTTCTTTTTTTTTTTTTTTAAAGATTTTATTTATTTGACAGAGAGAGACACAGCGAGAGAGGGAACACAAGCAGGGGGAGCGGGAGAGGGAGAAGCGGGCTTCCTGCCAAACAGGAAGCCCGATGTGGGACTCGATCCCAGGACCCTGGGATCATGACCTGAGCTGAAGGCAGTCGCTTAACCAACTGAGCCACCCAGGCGCCCCATCACTTCCTCCTTTCTATGCCTTTCCCAGAAAATACTGTATACACTCCCATTCTCCCAGCCTGATTAACCTGATTAATGTTTATTCAGGCTTAGTGAACAAGAAACTCAATACATATGCCTCACACGGGGTGAAGAAAGAGAGCAAACAAACAAGTGTTTCTTTGGTGTAGAACTTCAATTACTCACATAAGCTTATGCCTCACTGTAGAATAATATCTTAATAAAGATGCCAGATAAACCTTAGCTAAATGACAATTTCAAATCCTGCTTCAAGTACAAATATATATTAAGTACTAACATACCTGCCACGTGCAAGAACAAAGTAATTTGTATCATAATATCCCAGGACGTGTATGTATCAGATTTCCAGTCTGGCAAGGTTAAGGGAGAATTTTTGATGAAGGCTGTGTCTCTATTAAGAGACAAATTCAAAGACACCCCAGGGACTGTAAAATTTTATTTTTGTTCACAAAAATAGATACTATTAACTTTATAAATAAAGCAAAATATTCTGGCTTGTTTTAAGCAAGTAAGGATGCCTTTTTTTTTGAGATGTAACTGACACATAACATTATATTAGTTTCAGGTATACAAAATAATGATTTGTATATATTGTGAAATGATCACCACAGACTAGTTAACATCCATCACCACACACGGTTATACATTTTTCTTTGATAAGAACTTTAAGAACTACTCTCCTAGCAACTTTCAAATATATAATACATTATTAACTATAATCACCATGCTGTGCATGACAGCCCAGGACTTACTTATTACTTATAACTGGAAATTCATACCTTTTGACTTCCCTCACCCATTCCACCCACCCCCCAGCCCCAGAATGCCTTTCTACACTTGTTTCAGCCACAGAATTAAATATGCCATGTATAGGTTTCATTAAAAAACAAAACAAATAAACCCAATGTAATAGAGGAAAATGAGTAGGAAGTTTATGGAAATCAGGGGCTGTGGTTTTCAGTCTCAGTTCCAATAATTACCAATAAAACTGCCTCAGGCTAATGATGTCACATGGTGAGTTTTAGCCTTATCATCACCATGACTACCACCACTTCACCTTACAGATAAGGAAATTCATACTGTTTCCCAGCCCATTGTGAGATCCAGACCCAATCCTGTCTTTGAAAGTGTTTTATTATCAGCTTTACAGAGTACACATGAGACAGTGATTCATTCTAGCAGGAACATTTTCCACTGTCCACAATTTGACATGTTATCAAGAGCCTTAAAAGGTTCATACCCGGTAAAACAAAATGGAACACGGGTAATGGGTATATGGGGGTTTGTCATATTATTCTCTTTGCTTCTATTGTATGTTTGAAATTTTCCATAAGGGTTTTTTTTTTTTAAGTTTTTATAACTAGCTGATTCATTACTTTTTACTCCCCTTCTTAAGGTGTAGAATATTTTCATATTGCCATGATTTTTCTGGTTTTCCATTTTCACAACCCAAAGTTGTCTGATGAGTTTCTCCCAAGAGATTCTTGTCAATCCTTACCCCAATCCTTCTTAAAGGGGCATTGGTGGTTCAGTAGTAGATTTCTCACCTGCCAATCCTTCTTAAAGGGGTGCCCTAGATCTGCCCCAAAAACAGATCAATAAATCAGAGGTCTCCTTTGGGAAATAGGAAGAGGGGCTACTTGGGATGTTCAACACAGAGCGACATAATCTTTTCTGTTGGTCAGGAAGCCTGACACTTTTCTCTAATGGGTGTCACATTGTAGGAGTCTCTGTAGCTGTCCTCTCAAAAGGGTCTAAGTGCAGGCTGGGGTAGTTTCTAGTGTGGGCACTAAAGCATCTGACCCCATCCTTATTCTGCATTTAGAATGTGAGGTTGGAAATCATTTGTCCTCACAGCTCCTGTCTTTTCTCATCCATTGCTGCTAGATCAAAGCCATTCTGATTCTTATTCCATTTGTACGTCTCCTCCCTCTCCCTCTTTCTTTAAAAGCTTTTAAAAATCTTGTAACTTTCGTTCTAAAATTTTACAGTGATATGCTGTGGGTTGGCTCTCTCTTCATTCCTTTTGCTGGTCATTAGCATGTCCTTTTAATCTGAAAACTCACATCCTTTAGCTCTGGAAGATTTTCTTGTATTATTTCTTTCATAAGTTTCTTCCATCAGTCTTTGCTGTTCTCTCAGGGACTCTTATCAGACAGATGCTGAACCTTTGCAAGTAATCCTCTATGTCTCTTATCATTCTTCCACATTTTCAGTATTTTTGCATTTTTGTTCTACTTTCCAACTACTTGGTTTCCTTATTGTACTTTCCAAGATTTCCTCAACCTCACCTTTCAACTTTACTCTTCAATTTCATCTCAGCAAATCAGATTTTAACTTCCAAGAGCTCTAATCATCCAAATGTTCTCTTTTCACAGCATCCTGGTCTTGTTTAGTAGATGTTATACCTCCATGAACTCTTAGAGAACGTTAAGAGTTTCTCCCACACTATTTTTCTTCATTTAATTCACATACGTGGTTCACTATGTGTTCTATTTACATGCCTATGAGATCAGACCACATGTGTGATCCTGCCCACCCAGGAAGAAGGAAGCCTATTCCATGTGCAAATAGGCAACAATAAATTACTTCTTGAAAATGACTAAAACAAGGAACCTACTTAAGTGCACAAGGAGTGAGCCAGCTTACCTTCATAGAGTCAGAGTATAAAATATATTCCCTGAGCACAGGTAGGAAGTCTTCTGTCATGTCATCGGTCAGCTCTTCCAAGGCCGTCGAGCAGCTGCCAATGCAAGCTGACACACCCTCCAGGGGCTCAGCCAGCCCCCCCTCTAATGCACTCCATGTGGAGTACACAGGCCCATATTCTCGCAGCTCTACAAGGTACTCTAAAGGGAGAAGAGAAACTAAGTAAGACTTGGGGGGTAATTAAGACAATCACTGGTATTACTGACTCAGTAACAACTGTAGCCAAGAGCTCACTATAGTAAGATGTTATTTCCTTGGGCATTCACTCACCAAAGCACGCTCTCTTTTAAACACAACATTGTTTACAGTTCTTTAAAATCTCTATAAACCTATATTATAGCTAACATCATAACATCACCTGACTTCACCCCATAGTAGGAATGCCATGCTTCTGGATAATGGGGACCACAATGCCTTCTGGGGGAAGTGGTAGAAGCTACATCGACCACATATCTTCAAAAATAACCACTCACCTACTCATACGGTGAAGCAGTATTTTAACAGCAGTGGGGGCAGAGTTTCACATAGGTTTAGGGGGATCTTTTTAAGGGAAAGAAAAACCAGTGGCAAGGGAAAATTATAGGATTTTAGGGAATATTTTGATACGGATGTGGTCTTACATATGCAGAATCACTCTCATTCAGAGGTCATCCCAAAACTGTGGTCCCATCGGAATTTATTCCACATGCTCCTTAGATGTGGATGGTACTGAAAGCTACCTCTAGCACCTGCAGGCCCCACATGATACCATCCATGGGTAGAGGAGAATGAAAGTTCAGGGAAAAAGGGCAAATGTTGATTTATTTCCTCTTAAAAAAAAAAAATCTAGCCCATCATTCGTCACCAGGATTCTTTTTGTTTTTTTTTTTTTTTTTAAGATTTTATTTATTTATTTGACAGAGAGAGAGAGCGCATGCACAAGCAGGGGGAGCTGCAGGCAGAGGCAGAGGGAGAAGCAGGCTCCCCGTGGAGCAAGGAGCACGATGCGGGACCCGATCCCAGGACCCTGAGATCATGACCTGAGCCAAAGATAGATGCTTAACTGACTGAGCCACCCAGGCGTCCCGTCACCAGGATTCTTGCCATTACAAAAAGAGGTTTTTGCCATTTTTCAGTAACCAATGGATGGCAACTACTGGAGAATCCTTTTTGGTGTGTTTCATGTCTTGTGCCAGCATGATTATTCACGTTGTTCCAGTTTCTCTGGCCTACACATGTGTAAGAAGACAAAAAGCCCGAATATTCTGGCATACAGAAAAACAGGTGGCCACAAGGGGGGTGGGGAGGGAGTGGTGGCAACAACCTGGAAGGTTCCAGAAAGGTCTCATAACTCCCCAGGTCAGGAAGAGTGGGTCTGAAATGAAGCAGGGGTGGGGCAGGTGAGTCAATTTCAAGTTGAAGGCTCATTAGGACAACTTTGGCAAACACGGTCTCTATGCTGTCCTTTTGAACCATCTTTCTGCCAGAAAGGTACCAAAGTTTGTTTTTTAAAGATTATTTATTTATTTATTTATTTGACAGAGACAGAGACAGCGAGAGCAGGAACACAAGCAGGGGGAGTGGGAGAGGGAGAAGCAGGCTTCCCACTGAGCGGGGAGCCCGATGCGGGACTCGATCCCAGGAACCTGGGATCATGACCTGAGCCGAAGGCAGACGCTTAACGACTGAGCCACCCAGGCGCCCCCAGTTTGTTTTTTAAATTATCGTTCCCATGAATGAAAGGAAGTTGAGTCAATGTCTTCACTTTTAAAGCTAAAGTTAAGAGAGAGAGAAGTGGAAAGAAACTCCTCGGGGCTGAGAAGTGGCTGTATGCTACGGGGAAAGCAAATACAAGGCTGAGAAGCGGGGCAAAGGAGGGGGCACAAAATTATACTCTGCTCATGACAACCCCCTCCCCTCCTTGTATTTATTTTTTAGTTTTGTAAGCGTGGCCTCGTTTCTCCAGTTTGATTCTGCTAGCACACGTGAATGTCATTTCTGCGCACATGCTCCCTGGGCATGATCAATATCTGCACAATATCTGCTCACCTATTTCTTCCTTAATGATCCTCTGGGCTATTCGGTCAATGGTTCCCAGTTTGAGCGCAAATGTATCTAAGTAGTCACCGACAGCTGCAAACTCAAGAGGTCGACTCCTCAGCTTGTAGCCTCCAGTGACGTGCTTGACAGACTCGCCCACTCTGGTCAGCAGCGCCATCCCTTGCTTCTTGTAGACATTCAGGTCCTAAGGATGACACATGAACAAACAAACTCAAGGGGTTCCATCACTCCCACAGCCAGGCCTCGGTAAACCCAACCCCTTTAGGTGGTTTCTTCTTGGAAGTGGCAGACTCCGAAAACAGGGAGCTGAGTTAGAGGACTGACCACGTACACAAGAGTCCTCTCTCCTCGCCATCAGAGACAACCAAACGCACATACCTGAGCTCTTCCACCAGAGCAGGACTCCCACCTTTCTGATCGGGCTCACTCACCTGAGTATGCTCTCCTTTAAACTCAACACTATTTCTAACATGACTGTTTTAAAGTCTCTGACCAAGGGGGAAAAAAAAAGTCCCTTTCTCTCATGTAAGATATCCTACGTTATCTTTAGGAGAGCTGAAATTCATTCTATTCATTTATTTATATCCCAAGCAAAGTGATATAAAGAAAGGAGGGAGAAGAGGACAGGAAGTAGGGAACAGTGATAGAAAAAGCAGCGCAAGAATACCCAAGCCAAGGAAAGATGCTGTAAACAACAAAACACTTTATCCTGAACGTCTTGGTCAGGGCATACACGGGAAATGTGCTGAGCTACATGAGCCACTGTATCTAAATTTAAAATGCCTATCAGTCTGTCAGGTCAAATGAACTTCCTCCTGTCATCCAACTCTAGGAGGAATCGACAGCACCTTCAGGTTGTTCGACGTCACCTCCTTTAATGGTGCCTTCAAAAATGGTTTTACAGAAGATCAGGTGTCTGCTCCTTATATCCACCCTCAACACGAACAGTAGGAATTCCTGGTCCGAGGAGGGCATGTCCACAGAGATACAAGGGAACACAGCACAAGGCCACTGCTTTCTGGTCACCTTGTCTGGTTTGGGGATGGAGCAGAGAACAGGGCGGCCCCCTCCCATTTCACCGCCACAGTCACAGGCTCCTGTCTCCACAAGTGTCTGCAGGGGAAACTGCTCCTGACTTCACTTCCTTCTTCTTTAGGCAGCCAAGGCCTTCACTTGGGCTCTTGATTCCACTCTTTCCTAGCTACACCTCACTGACCAGCAAGGCCCCCGCCCATTAACCATTCCCTCTTCTGTCTCTACCTTCAACTTCTTACCCTTCGGTGCGTAATAGACACCCAGGGCTCGCCCATCTTCAAAACAGCAGCAATTTCCTCCAGCTCCCCTCCTCCATTTCTCTTCTTCCTTCCAAAGTCAGGCTACCTGGGAGAATGTTCCAAAGATTCCATCTCCTCTTCTAGCCTCAGGTACCCTAGACAAGAAAATGTCCCCGTAGACACCTAGCTTTCACAAGACAGTAACGGAAGCCTTGCCATTCTTTGCACTGCTTGCAGATTCAGTACTCTTGGGAGCAGGGCTAGACCCCAATGGGCTCACTGGCCTGCAGAAGCTCTATTCCAAGTAGAGGCTTAGAAGAGAACCCCCAGTTAGCCAACATACTGCATGAGGTTATTGGGTAGTGTCTCTCTGACTGCTGCACCCATTCTGGCAAAGATAAAAATACTGATCTGAACACGGGCGATACTGAGCATCCCCCCACCTCTCCCAGCATTACTGGCTTCTTCTCAAAGACACTCCTGGTTTGTGGTTAAGATCAGGTTATCACGAGGAAGAGGAATGCTTCTGCCTTTACTGTGGCAGACCGCGTCAAGGCCTCACCTAAGAACAAGACCAAATTATTCAAGGCGTGTCAGAAGATGGGGAACATGGGGCAGGGGAGATGGGGAGCTCCTGTGGGATCACACAGCACACAGTACAGTACCGCGTTTCAGTTTCATGAGACGAGGAAGTTCTGAGGATTAGCTGTGAATGGACTTAATGCTACTGAAATGTATATCTTAAAATGGTTAGGATGGTAAATTATGTATTTTGCCACAATTTAAAGAAAAAAAAAAAAAGAACAAGATGGGGTTATTTAGTACATTCAGCTCAGCAAGTAAAACTGAACTAGGCTAGGATTTGTTCTGTGTTAAGAGTCAACACCCCAGCACTCACTCATGGGAAGTTGGATTGTGGTTAAGACACTAAGGACTTTTTGTTTGTTTGTTTAATCATTCATCTGGCCCACAAATGCCCCCTCCCCCACATCTTTCCTCTTTAATCTCCACATAGATTCCTAATGACCAAGGGTCCACGTGTTCTCCCCTGTGTCTCTGCTCAGTAAAGAGGACCAAGACTGGGGCCTGCCAGGTCAACAACCTGAACCGTGCGTGAGGCAGTGAGTTGCAATGTTGGAGAATCGGATGGATTTTACTCTGTGTAACAACTGTACCTGAGGATCTGTTACCAGGAAATATTTATTTTGAAAAAGAACACGAGTTTGATGTGGGGGAAATAGGCCTTTAGGAAAAAAAGAGATAAATGGGAAGGTCATCAATGGGGCTAAAAAAATGCCAGTGGTGGTTTTTAAAAAAAGAAAATACTAAAGGACTTAGCCAGGTGGTTTCCATCGTCTGGAGAACGGCACCCTCTCTAAAATCTTTAACGTCAGCTGATGTTATCTGCAAATATTTCTCAATTTTGCCATTTTGAAAAAGAAAACTGGGAAATCCCTGAGCTTCAACACCCTTGCCAACATGGGATAAAGCACCTATGGCCCGAGGATGGGAATGTGACCCACAGAAGTAAAGAAATGTGGCTACAAGGAGCTGGCATGAGAATCTGGGCCTGAGATCCCATTTCTGCAGACATTTAGGGCAGAGTGCCTCAGAATTCCCACCAGTTCTGCCAAAAGGGAAGTGCACACAGAAGCCAGGGCATGACCAACCTGGGTGGGGACACACAGAACCTGGCAACTGTGTGGGACCCAAACGTTTCTCTGGCAAATGCTTGGAAAAATGCCCACCCAATAGGAACATGGCTGTGGGCAAGTAACACTCAACTCGTCTTGGTCGGGCGGTCAGATACAGAGGGGAAGTGTGGCCTCCGGAGCCATAAAGACCCAATCTCAAATCCTAGTGATGCTACTTGAACACGTACTGACTCCTTGAACTCCAGTTTCCTCATCTGTAAAATGAGGTTGGTTCCTGTGACGGGTTCCTGTGAAGAGCATCCTTACCAAACCCTCACTAGATGTTCTTACGCTCTGTTCTTTCAGCCCACTCTTGGTAAGAGCGGTCTGACCCAGTAATATGCCAAGAAGTGTTTAAGGAAATGCTCAGCCCTCCTTTCGGCGAGTAAAAACACTCTAACTCCCTCTGCTGCTGCAAAGGGGTGTTTCTCCCAAATTCTAACATGGAAACCCTGCTGAGGTAAATGGACACACACACACACAAAAAAAAATAGAGCAATTTGATGACATCCACTATTGTGGGCCATTCACAAAGGTGGTTTGTGAGAGATCAAAGCAGCTTCTGAGAAAGAGCCTGAAGGATACTAATTTGGGGGAAGAACATGAAAAACTCTGTTCTTACCTTAGCAGTAAGGAAAACATTGAAGTGTTCATTGAAAGAGAGCACAGGATGATCTGTAATTCTTTTTAGGAATTTATCCAAAGCTTTTCTCCTGGTCTCCACAAACTCTTCTGAAAAACGATCTACAACACCTTTCACCACAAACTTCTCAGGAAGCGGCTATGAAGACAGGAAGAAAAATATTCAGAGTAATTGATAAGATAGTGGAAAGAAAAACCACAGGCTAGCAAATAATTCTGTCCAAGAATATACTCCTTATTCGGGTGGATCTTTATGTAGTCATCAATATAAACCTTTCTGAAGCATACAGATGGAGTAAATCACAGCTACCCTTCTCAGTTTTATAACCCAAGAAGTAAAATGCTAGAGACTAGTCCTTGGAATACAGAAAACAGTCAGTCAATATGTATCCAGTAAATCAAATATTGCTCTCTTTGGCAGCACATACACTGAAATTGGAACAATACAAGGATTAGCATGACCCTGGCACAAGGATGACAGTAAATCCAATAGTCTAGCTATCTGTACATTGCTTAATGCACAGGTGGTATAATGAGAAAGTCAGGGCCAGAAAGACAGTCTAAGGAAAGAAGGCAGACAAGATCAACCACGCAAAAATTGATTTAAATAGATTCACATTCTGCTCCCAGTTCAAGGGGTAGAAGAACTTGGTGAATGGAGAAATAAGTACATTGGGCAAACCCATGTATCTAAAAAATACCTCTTCCAAGCCAATCTTTTGTGTAGGTTTACACTCAAAAGTTCTGTCATTTCCTTTGCTCCTCTTCCTCAAACAAATGTCTCTGTAATATTTGCTTTGAGCCAATACTGTGGGCAATTTAAAACTACCTGGTTACTAAGGGATCTTTGAGCTTTGACCTATTTCCATAGTAGCTTTTATTAAATGCTTGATTAAAAGGCCCTCCCCATTACTACCATGAGAGAGAGAGAGAGAGAATCTGCTAATGAGCAATTCAAAAACGTTTGGGTTATGAAATATTAAAAAAACATTTACATTAAAAATTGGACAAACGATTGGTACATATTTTTTCAAAGATCTACAAATGGCCAACAAGCACGTGAAAAGATACACAAATGCAAACCACGGTGAGATACGACTTCCACACCCATGAGGATGGTCCGAATAAGGGAAAGAAAGAAACAAGCAAAACAAAGAACAGAACAAGTACTGGTGAGGATGGAACAAGATTTAATTCCACACCCTCCTTCAGCCCCATATTCTGACAATAAAGAGGTCTATTTCTTTTATTTTTTTTTTGAAGATTTTTATTTATTTATTTGAAAGAGAGAGAGCATAGGAGCAGGGGCAGAGGCAGAGGGTGAAACAGGCTCCCCGCTGAGCAGGGAGCCTGACGTGGGGCTCGATCCCAGGACCCTGGGATCATGACCTGAGCCGAAGGCAGGCGCTTAACCGACTGAGCCACCCAGGCGCCCCAGTTTATTTCCTTTAAATTATAAACCTTCAAGTGCACGCACGAGCACACAAAAACAGACACAAGGACTTCACCAACCCGAAGAAGTGGAATCCTAAGGTATCTGGAGTGGAGAAATCAAGAAGTGATCCCAACTTTGAACCCTTTCAAAGACTTGTAGTCTGGCACCATCAACAGCCCTGGGATGAAGCACTTGGAAGAGCTTTGGAAAGGCAGGATGTTTTCCATCTCCAGAATAGAGACCGTGGCTCCATGCCTCCAGGGTTCATCTTCCCCCATCAGCCAAGCTGTCTGACTTCGGTCAAGTGGCTAGGTGTGCCTCATTTAATGTAACAGATAATCTCCTGGTCCCTCAGTTTCTTCTTCGTTTGTAAAAAAAATAGGTAACAGTAATGCCAGCCTCTCAGGGTTGTTACAAGGATTAAAATTCGCTGCTAGGCTGAATGTGCTCCACACAATTCCTACTGCAGAGGAAGCAACAACAAAAGTTTGCGGGGGTCTTTGCTGTAGGAGGGGCAGCGGCTTTGGGAACTACTAATCTTCGGGGACAACCATGTCCAGTTACATCTTGAAATGGTGGCAGTGTGCAGGCAGAAGAGGCTAAGAACTGACTGGTTTCTCTTTACCAGATTGGGAGTTCTAGAGGGCATGGTGGAAAGGCATGGAAATGAAGAGAGAGAGGGTAGCAGAGTGAGGAATAAAATTACAGAGCCGCATGGAGAGAACACGTCCAACTTAGATAGCCGGTAGAGCTTACGCCTGGGGAGAATATTGGAGACGGGGTAGTGGGTGAGATGCATATAGGGCCATCCAGCCCAATGTTCCAGCCCAGTCAAAAGCACCAGGGAATCTGTCTTAATAGGGTGTGGTTGTTCTTTAAGACAACTTCTTTGTTCTGATCAGTTCTTCTCCCATTCCCTTAGGCAGCCATTCTCCTTAAACCCTACACTAAACCCCCAACCTTTCATGCTAAGCACAATACCATCTCTCTGACATAGGAACCAGGTGTAAGGGCATCACATAAACATTCCCTAACCATTCTGCTTCCTCCACAGAAACCCATCTCCCCTCCATTTCTCAGGTCCCTGTGGACAACATACCCAACCCCCAACACACCACAAAGCTAACTCTTCTGTGTCTTTGACCCATGAGTTCAGTATCATGCATGTGTTGTCATTAATTAATTATACCTTCTTTTCCCTGTACCTTCAACATTTCCTCCTCACCTGGCTCTGTTCCCGAGTCTACAAAAATATAGTTGGTTCTCTTTCTACCCCAAAATAATAAACCCAACTATCCCTTGACTTTACATCTTCTTCTCCACCCTCCTGCAGGGCTCACTCAACCTTTCTGAAAGAATCATTTATCTTAACTCCCACTCCTTCCATCGATGTCTCAGCCCCAAGCTTCCTCCACCCCAAAACGAAGTTGTCTTTGATTCTCCCTTCAATCCTGCATTTCTCCGCCTTATCCCTAACCCAATGCAGACCACTCTTTTAAAGATGATCAATGGCTTTCTAACGACCAAATCCAGTGGATATTTACCTGCTCTTATTTCATGAGTCCTGGTGAGCATGCTCTGGTTTGCTTATGCTGAATAGGACTTGGGAGGAAAGCCTAATGAGAAAATAAGTGCCTAGGTGTGCCTCATTTAACGTAACAGATAATCTCACGAAATAGTTAACTCATTCTTCAGGTTTAGTACATTGAACTTTATGTTTAATGAATCAGGGAAGCTTGCTATTTAAAGGAACCCCAGAGTGAATCCTTCTGCAAACAAAATTTCCTTCTAAGCATTATTATTCCCAAACGTACATGGCTTTGGAAATTTGTTTCTTCCTATTTCGAGCTTACTTAAAGGGGACTTAAAGCCTAGTCTTGGCGTCACCTTTATAATTACCTTCTGGTTCCTTTATGCATAGGAATCTGGGTTGCTGATGAAATCAAGTGCCTCTCTGGACTGTAACTGAGCTCAGCACAGCTCCAAGCACGTGGTAGATGTGACACACATGCCACCTCTTTTTATGACCTTGTAAACACTGACAACAGAAGGCAGAAGGGGAGTGGACCAAAGGGTGGAATTTCCATACATCTTTGAGGCCAAAATGTTTTTTAAAAACCCTCTGTGATACATACCATTTCACACCCACTAGGATGGCTATAAGATTTAAAAAAAAAAGGAAGCAAGTACGTGGAGAAATTGGAACCCTCATACATGGTTGGTGAGAATGTAAAATGGTACAGTCTCTGTGGAAGACAGCTTGGCAGCTCCTCAAAATATTAAGTGTAAGATTAGCATAGGATCCAGAATTCCATTCCTTGGTACGCAGCCCAAATAATTGAAAGCAAGTGTTCAAACAAAAACTCGTACAATCAATGTGCAAGTAGCATTATTTATAATAGTTGGGTTGGGAAAAAGGGGAATGAGAAGCGACTGCTTCATGGGTATGGGATTCTTCTGGGGGGGATGAAAATATTCTGGAATTACATAGTGGTGGTGACCGTAAAACATCATGAATGCACCAAAAGCCACGGAGCTGTACACTTCTTAAAATGGTGAATTTTATGTTATTCAAATTTTACCTCAATTTTTTTAAAAAAAGAGCTGTGGTGACGGAAGCAAACGTCAGAGAGGAGAGAAAACACTGTGCTTTGAAGATGGCAGAAGGGGCTTTGAAGATGGCGGAAGGGGCCACGAGCCAAAGGATGTGGGAGCCTCTAGAAGCTGGAAAAGTCAAGGAACCAACTCCCCCCTGGAGCTTCTACGAGGAATGCAGCCCTGCCACCTGGATAGTAATCCACTGAGACCAATTCTGGACTTTTGACCTCCAGACTATAAGGTGATAAACTTCTGTTGTTCAAATCGCTTGCTAAAAAAAAAAAAAAAATCTTACCTGGTATGGGGGTAAGGGAGTGGGTAAGGACAGAGATGAAACAAGATGGGCCACTGGGGATAAATGCTGAAACTGGGCGGTGAGTACATGAGGGGGTTCATTGCACTGAATCGCTCTACTTTAGTATTTCTGACATTTTCCATAACGAAAACATTTTTTAAAAACAACACATGCATGTATATGTTGGAACTTAGAAAAAATCCTATTTGTGGGGCACATGGGTGGCTCAGTCAGTTAAGCGTCTGCCTTCGGCTCAGGTCATGATCCTGGAGTCCCAGTATGGAGCCCCATGTCGGGCTCCCTGCTCAGTGAGGAGTCTGCTTCTCCCTCTCCCTCTCCCCACTCCCCTCTCTCTCTCTTGTTCACTCTCTTTCAAATGAATAAAATCTTTAAAAAATATATTTTAAAAAATCCTATTTGCAAAGCATTACAATAACCCATTAAATATTTCAAGGTTTAACCTTATAAAATATTTACGTTTTCATAGCACTTGATACTTTGGTCAAGCACTTTCACAGGTGTTATATTTCATAACAGTTTACAATAAAGTACCTTATAATCTGTGAAAACAAAAGCATACTTCCCGTATGTTGTCATGGGAAGCTACTATTTCATAGTGCGAAATCTGCGCAAAGATTTCAATTGCTCAATCTTGAAATGATCCAACTTCCTCTTGTCAGCATTTGCTTCTTCAACAAATATTAATTTGCAATTAACTGCAAATTGCAATTAAACAAATATTCAGCAACACATCCCCTACATGACAGAAAACTATTTTTCCTATCCTTATCAAACAGATAATATTGCTCCT